TGATAGTAAAATGTAGGGTATGCGGGGTAGTTTGATCTTAGAATAGGATAATAGGTTGGCACAACATGGTGGGCTGAAGGGCCTGTACTGTTCTATGTTCTATGAAGATCTACATACCATTTGCCTTCATCACTGCCTCTTCAAATTTATATTCCATGTCGGGTTGAAAGGGGTTACAGGATTTTCTTGGGCAGTTTGCTGTTTCCCAATATTTTAATATACAGGCAGTATGGTGCATATTAGAACTTCTTTAGAGGTGCACAATAATTTTAACTGGCAGAATTAAACTCCTGATCCTCATATTGGTTGAAAATCATCAAAGTGAAAAGTGGGTAGATTCTACAAAGGGAACCTAATCCAGATTTAGGATTAGACAACTGGTTGAAAACTTAGAGAGATAGCAAGAACAGCAGATGCTGGAGTCAGAGATAATAAAGTGTGGAACTAGAGGAACACAGCAGGCCAGGCAGCATCAGAGGAACAGGAAAGCTGACGTTTTGGGTCAGCTGAAGATTTCTGAAGAACGGTCCCGACCCAAAACGTCAGCTTTCCTGTTCTTCTGATGCTGCTTGGCCTGCTGTGTTCCTCCAGCTCCACGCTTGGTTATGGTTGAAAATTTACCCCCTTTCACCCTACAGAGCTCTGAAAATGCACACAGACACTCATGAAAGAGAATGGAGACGGCTTTGTGGAAGATAATAACTACAAGTTTAAAAGTTTAATTGTTTTAAGCATGTGTTGAATACCTTTAAATCATCACAAGTACATTTTTGAGTCTCTTTGGTGCACTATTCATTTAAACATAATCCACGGCAGATCCACTTGACCTGTCACTGTGATGTAAATTGTCTGATTTATACATTTTTTAATATCATTTATTTTAATTTGGTGTTTGGATTCTGAGTTAACAACATGCATTTTCTGTGTGTCTGAAATCAATAGTTAATTTTTAATTATTAATTACTTTTCTGTAGCAACGGTGAGAGTTTTAAAAGCAGTTTGTGAGGGCAACTTCAGCAGCCTAATGGTTTTTTGTTAACTTTTAGGATTTTACACAACTGCACCTTAAGGTTTCTGTTAGAAATTTCTGGACCAGTAGGTTTTTTTTCTTTATGCTTATGGGAAATACCCACACCTTACAATGAGCGATTTTGCTTGAATTTTATTTTGTTTTTGAAAAGTTCTTATAGCATTGCTCCTGAAAATGGAAAATCTAGAGTAAGGAGTTAGTAACAGTACTAAACCAGATGTGTTGGGATAAAATCCTGAAGAGGTTACTTGAAGCTGAATACATTTAAACACAGTCAACAATAGCTCCCAGAACAGGCTTTCAGAGTTTTAAATCTAGGAGTTAAAGTCACAGTTATCTTAAATTTGCAGAGAAAGGGTTTCTGGTGTGATTACTATATAAGGGTTGCTGTTGGACACTGTACAAGGGATGTCTTTTTTTAACCTTTTAAAGGAGCATTTTGGGATTAATTAGATTACACTTTTACACAGAGTTTAAAACTTTTTGAATGTGTTTCATTAGTAAATAGATTGGTTTATTCCATTATATTTTCATTTCTTTTGCTTAATAAACTTCAGTTTCATTCTTAAAATCAAAATCTATAACTTTATATGTTTCTGTCTCAGTGAGAGACTACGTCATTAAAACAAAATGAAAAAAAAAGCTAGCTATCGAGCCAGATTTTATTCTGGAATCTGTCACAAATCAGCTGGGATCATAATAATCACTTCCTCCTTGCAGACCTATTTTAACTTCCTGGTTAGTGTTTACTCAAAATTCTTTTTATGTTTTTAAGATCACTTTAAAGGCTATCACTTTAAAGGCTATCTTTCCCTATCTCTGCAAACTCTTTCAGCCCTACACTTCTCCTCACCAAGTCCCACAAAAATCCTCAGACCTTTTGCATTTCCAATTTGTTCATCTCAACTCTTAACTCTTCAATGCAAACAAGCAAAATACTATGTACTTGGTAAAGAGAAAAATCCCTTCATAAACTATGATCTTAGCATAAGCTATTAGACTACTAAACAAGGCTAGTATTGATTCAGTGATGTTATGAATGTCCTCTCTGTTCCCACCTCAGAGAAAAGTGTGGTTGTCAGTCAGTCATTCACGCAGGGTAAGTAATTCAAAAAGCAAATGGAAAGCTGAAGGAAACAGTTCAATAGGAAGCTTTCTGTTAGCAGCCATTTAAAGGTCTAAAATGCATTTCTCTACCCAACACTGAAAACACTCTATAGAAAAGTGATCATTTTGTCAATTACGATAAAATTCATTTCAGAGATAAACTTTGATGCTAAAATCATTCTCTGTGTTATGCAAATCAGCTTTTGTATTCAATGATTTTGAAGATTCCTTAGGTAGGAGTTCTATATTGAAATAGATTAAAAATGATGAAAAGAATAACTTTTCATAATGAAATAAGGTCCAATTTAAGCAACATTTCAATAACATTCACCCCCAAGTGCTAAGCTATGATCATTTCCAACAAGAGAGAATCTACCATCATCCTTAGACATTCAATGTTGCTAAATCCCCTACTATCAACATCCTGGAATTTACCACTGACCAGAACTTGAACTAGACTCATCATATAAATACTGTGGTTACAAGAGCAAGTCAGAAGCTGGGAATCCTGTGATAACTAACTCATCTCCTGACTCCCTAAAGCAGGTCCACCATCTATAAGCCACAGGTCAGGTATGTGACGGAATACAGTCCACTTGCCTGGATGAATACAGCTCCAACAAACTCAAAAAACTTGATGCTATACAGGACAAAGCAGCCCACTTGATTATTACCACATACTTAAATATTCACACCATCTGACATACAGTAGTAGCAACGTTTCATCTATAAGATGAGCTGCAGAAATTCATCAAGGCTCCTTAGACAGCACCTTCCAAACTACAACCTCTACCAAGAGAAGGACAAAAGCAGAACATACACGCAAATATCACCACCTGCAACTTCCCTTCTGAATTATTCACCATCTTGCCTTAGAAATATATTACCGTTCCTTTACTGTTGCTGGATCCTTTCCTAACAGCACCATGGGTGTAACTATAGCAAATGGACTGCAGGGGTTCACAAAGGCAACTCACCACCACTTTTGCCAGGACAACTAGGGACGGGCCAGAAACGATGGCCCGGCCAACAAAACTCACATCTCTGAGTGAATAAAAAAAATTACACAACATATCTCCTGATCTTCACTTAAACAGAATGATGCCGAATAGAAAACAGTCTGGGTGCTGATTAGGAGTCCATGGCCCTCAACTGATTTGCCCCTCCTTCTGTGTATTAGCTTTCAGTCACAGTGCACTAGCCATAGAACTTACCATGCAGGAAAGAGAAGAAATGTGTAGGTAGATTAAAAAAAAAGTCTTATGGTCAGCCTTTAACAATTACTTTAAAGTAGATTTCTACTCAAGATTAAGTCACTTGGGCAAAAATAAAATGGATATTCCTTTAATAGGAGTTTAGTGCTTTCTTATACATTTGTATCTTTTACATCAACTCTTTAACTTTAATTATTCCAAACCCCAAAATTGTCAAGGCTGGGTCCCACTTCCACAGCCATTTACATTAGTGACAGGAATCAATGTGTAGGCAGAGAGATTCTCCACTGTAGTGAAAATTATGCTCTACTCCCCCTGTTGTACCCAAAACATGTTCTTAGCCATTTTCACAAGGAGGAAAGTGGGGGTAGTTTCTAATTGCACATCTGCAGTTCATGGAGACAACTACACATGTTAAAGGTGCAGCTGTCTCAGTCAGATATGATTTTCATTAGTGGAATGTCCAAACAGAACTTATTCACAATAAACCTGGAGCAGCAAGTCAAAGCCACCAGAGGTCCCTGGAGATACAGAGATCTGCTCGAGAGACCTGTTTGTCAAGAAAAGTACCCTTTTTGATAAGGTCAGGGGACCCTGCTGAGAGAGATAAGGTGCCATTTGGGATTGTTAAAAGTAGACACAATAAACTATGCAGGAACTGATTGGTACTGTCAGGAAAACTATCAACTCATTTAGATCTTCTGCTCTTCAAATATTTGGAAAAAGGAGCTGTTTACAGTCTGAAAAAAAAATAATAGCTTGCTATTTCACTCTGACTATTGACATAGTGGAGATGATGCTCTCATGGTATTATTGCTAGACTATTAATTCAGAAACTCAGCTAATGTACTGGGGACCCGGGTTCGAATCCTGCACATCAAATGGTGGAATTTGAATTCAAATTTTTAAAAAATCTGGAATTAAGAATCTAGTGACGACCATGAAACCATTGTTGATTGTTGAAAAAACCCATCTGGTTCACTGATGTCAGTCAAGGAAGGAAATCTGCCGTCCTCACCTGGTCTGGCCTGCACGTGACTCCAGACCCACAGCAATGTGGTTGACTCTCAAATGCCCTCTGAAATAGCCTAGCAAGCCATTTAGTTGTATCAATCACTACAAAGATTCAAACAAGTGAAACTGTAGAGATCACCTGGCATTGACCTAAGCACTGGAAAATAGAAAGGCAGAAACAGTCCTGTCGACCCTGCAAAGTCCTCCTCACTAACATCTAGAATCTGAATTCTTTCCAGGTTGGCCACCATTGCTCCCATAAAACCCAGCCCTGAAAATATGAAATTCCTGGACTTTGGATTTGCAGAGCTGGGTGTTGTCCCAAATCAGTGCCCGTGACCATGGAGAGAACGTTAGGCCAATGTGTTCTATGGTGAAATGTAGATTGACTTTAATCTAGCATCCGTTTTGATTTAAGCAATGGAAAGTCCTAGGTTCCGAAATTATGCAATATGCATCTCAGCCTTAGATTAATGAACTGGGTCAAACTGGAGTTTTGACGAGAAAACCAAGGAGGGCTACTGAACTGCTGAATCTGCATGTACCAGAATTTATACATAACCATTTGAATTACATTTTTGTTAGCAACTTTCCTTCTATCACACGAACTAATTACTTTTATTTCACCAACTTACCCGTGTATTTTGAAAAGGGCTTATGTATGACTCCAATGATTGGCTTTCCATGTACAGCTATACACACCATAGTGGTTACGAAATGTTTCAGATCCTCTATGAAACAGAAAAGAGAGGTACAGAACTGTAAACTGAAAAATCAACAGTAATTTTAAAAAAACCTGAATAGTGAATGCATTTCTCTTCTGTATGGATTTTGTTTAAACTTATCAAAACATTATCGATGGCTAATAAATTGCACAATATCAGGGATCTATTTAAAAGTACAATTCTTGAAGTTTATCATAGCATCTTGCCGAATTAATTCCTCCATATATTGAAATGATAGTGTCCAGTGAAGTGTTTCTGATAAAAAACACAATTTGTCAAAAAAAGAGATGGAGAAGATTTTATAATATTCCAGCACTTCTTGCTAGTTGATAATGTAGTCCATCTGGGAAGATTCTATTGTGCATTTTGTTCAATAATTGTGGTGATGATTCATAACATATTGTTATTTGGGAACTTGGACTCTAAAGTGGAGGAGAAATTGGTACCAGTTTTCAGTTCAGTGAAGTTCTGACTTAAAAAAAATAGTCAAAGTCATTTTGAACAGTGAGTTCAAAACTACAGTTACAAGAGGTTATGTGATTTCACCCAAAGTAAAAGCATGTTCCCTCGGAAGGTAATTGTTAAGGTGTTTGCTGAACCGAGTTTTATGACCCCAGAGAAAAAAGGGGAAGAAACAGATTCATGCAGAGAGAAAAGTTCATAAAAGCAAAGGCGCTGTTGTTAGCAGCCTCCAGGCAGTCGGGGCTGGGAAGAAGTCTTGATAAGGGCAGCACGGTGGCTCAGTGGTTAGCCCAGCTGCCTCACAGAGCCAGGACCTGAGTTTGATTCCACCCTCGGGCAACCGTGTGAAGTTTGCACATTCTCGTGTCTGCGTGGGTTACCTCCAGTTGTTCTGGTATTCTCCCACTGTACAAAGATGTGCTGGATAAGTGGACTGGTAATGTTAAATTGCCCATAGTGTCCACAGATGTGCAGGCTAGGTGGATTAGCCATGGGAAATATAGAGTTAGAGGGACAGGGTCGGGGGGGTCTGGGTGAGCTGTTCTTTGGAAGGGCAGTGTGGACTCGATGGGCTGAATGGCCTCCTTCCACACTGTACGGATTCTATGATTCTATAAGAAAGCTCTAGATGCAGAAGGCGATGGAACTGTCAGAGAGGTAGACATCTTATAAAGCTGCTGAAGATATGAGACTAGGGAACTCATGTTAATTAATAAGCGAGCTGGGTTAACAGCTGATTTTAAGAGTCTTGGGACAGACATAAATAAAGAATAGCTTCAATTAACTGCACAGAATCTTGCTCAAAGGAAACCATTTACACCAATGTCAGCCGAGCAAGAAACTTTCACGTGTAGTAGGGGTTACTCTTCAATGGAATGTGAGTGTCTGCAGTATACTGCTGAGATAAGAAGGGATGGACCTTTCTTTTCGATTTTTATAATGAGATCATTTCAATAATTCATGTATGATGTAATGCAGTTTGTGCTTTTCTTTTATATAATGAACTTTCATGTTCTTTCCTTAACTGTACATTGGTTGCCTCTTGTGGGTATGTTCAGAGAGACTTCACAGTAAACAAGAAAAAGCTTAATATCTATCTAGCAGGCTTCATTCTGAGATCTGACTTGTCCAGTGTTTACCATCAGCTGGCATCATAACGAAACAAAAGGATAGTTTGTGAAACTTTAGGGGAGCAACACCACAGTGGTTCAGTGGCTTCCATAATGACCTTATCTGAAGTAATTAAAGATAAGCAACACTAAGTGTAAGTGACACTCACATCCCAAGAATGAATTTAAAAAGAAACAAATGCGGTCAAGTAAAAACAGGTCATTTTTGTTCAGTGCAACTTAATATATAGCCATCAATAATGAAATCACTGAGTTTTTTTAAAACCCTGAAGTGATAAATTGGTCCTTTCTAATTTAACTTCTAAAGATAGACTTTCGAGTCTTGTTGATAGGAGTTTAAAATAAAGGAAAACCTATCAAGTACACCGGAGTGAATTTTACATGTTGTATCTGCCACATGCAAGGTTGACAACATCTTGGAGTGTTTACAGAAACAAATCATATCCTACGTAAGTTAGAAACAGAAAAAAAAAACTGCAGATGCTGGAATCCAAGGTAGGCAAACAGGAGCCTGGAAGAACACAGCAGGCCAGGCAGCATCTCGAGGAAAGGAGCAGACAACATTTCCTCTAGATGCTGCCTGGCCTGGTATGTTCTTCCAGCCTCCTGTTTGTCTACCGTATCCTACATAAACTTTTTATCCTATGGGGAAGTGGGTTTTTACGTTTTTAAAAACACAATAGTAAACTGCCCTCTATCTATGGAAGACTACAATGGACTCAGGCCACACAGGTGGCACTTTCTGTAATCACAGCATAAGAACCCTACAAAATAAGGTCATGCAGCTATCAAATAATAGATATATTTAAAGGAAATAATCTCCCTACTGACTAGATCCATTTAAATTAAATCCCAATAGTGTAGCCATTCTCTTCATTATTTCAGTGGATCATTTCTCCATTTGACTGTTTCGCAGCACTGTTAATCTGATGACAGGGCTTTTTGTTTTACATTGGCCTCCCTCCAGTTTATGGTTTAAAAGAAAACAACATTACTAATAAACTACCAGTGAAGAAGCATGGTAAAAAAGTTAGGTCACATGGGATTCAGGGTGAGCTTGCCAATTGGATACATAATCGGCTTAAACAGCAGGAGACAGAGAGTAATGGTGGAGAGTTGCTTTTCAGACTGGAGGCCTGTGACCAGCTGTGTTCCACAGGGATTGGTTCTGGGTCCTCTTTTGTTTGTCATTTCTATAAATGATTTAGATGAGTATATAGAAGGCGTGGTTAGTAAGTTTGTGGATGACACCAAAATTGGTGGCGTTATAGACAGTGAAGAAGGTTTTCTAAGATTAGAAAAGGGACATTGATCAAATGGGTCAATGGGCTTAAAAATGGCAGATGGAATTCAATCTGGATAAACGCGAAGTATTGCATTTTGGTACAACAAACAAGGGTAGGGTTTATATAATTAATGGTAGGGCCTTGCGCAGTGTTGTAGAACAGAGGGGCTGAGGGGTTCAGGTACTCAATTCTTTGAAGTTTACGTTGGTGTCGAGGCTGTGACATCCACAGTGTCCATTTTATCCTCAGAGGTTTCTTTGATGCTCGACAGAGGAGGAGAACACACAGATTCTGATAGCCTTACTGGATGTTCTGAGGGGCCGGGTATGTTTTGCTCCTGTCTTGTTTACAAGTTTGCATCTTTCCTGTTGTTCGCATGCTTGATCAGGACTGCCTCACTTTCCCAAACTTTTACACATCACGTACCTGACCTCACGTTAACCGTGCCTCTTACCCACGTGGGGCCATTCCCGTGGTTCCGACACCAAACCTCATCTTCTTAAGTAAACGGTCTCTCTCGCTTAGAAGAATCTTGTGTCCGGCACTGGCATTCCTGATGCTATTTCACCCTGCCTCTCAGGTTCAGGAACATCAGGCTTAATCTGGTGTGGAATCTTCTGCCTGCTAGCAACTCTACTTGAGCTATCTCTGTCGTTACGTGAGGGGTGGTCCGATAATCAAATAGGAACTGGAACAGTTTCGTAACGAGTGAAACTGTGGGCTGTTTCTTTAAGGTTGCCTTCAAAATGTGGACTGCTTTTTCTGCCAGACCATTGGACAATGGATGATATACAGCTGTCCTTACATGCTGAATGCCATTCGACTTTAGAAAATACTCAAATTACCTTCTGGAAAACGATGTCCTGTTATCTGTGACAAACACCTCCAGGAGTCTGTGTATTGCAAAAGATACTCGAGCTTTTCAATGGTCATCCCCATGTTCATTCTCAATGCATGTCCAACCACTTTGAACGGGCATCCACAATGAGTAAGAACATACAGCCCATGAAAGGACCGGCACAGTCAATGTGAAACTCTATCCGGGGTTTACCCACCATTCTCATGAAAATGGGGGAGCTGCGGGTGATAACTGTTGTCCTTGTTGGCTCTCTGAACACTATGTCACCAGTGCAGCTATGTTGGCGTCCAGTCCTGGCCACCAGACACGACTTCTTACCAACATCTTTGCTTGGAAATTCCTGGATGACCCTGGTGGAGTTCACCCAGTACCTGATGGTGACCTGTGCACGTTTGGGACAATCCCTCTTGCTCCCCATAATGAAATGCTGTTCTCTATAGTAATCTGGTCTTGCCAGGTCCAGAAAGATTTCAATCCTGGTTGTGAAGGCCTCTTTTTATTCCCACATCACCAGAGACAGTTTTAGTTTTGCCAGGATAGATCTTTGTGTGGCCACAGTCTAATATTGTCAGCGGCGTCCGGAAGGGTGTCCAGAAAGTTCAAAACCAGAATGGACTCTTCTAGTGGGGGCACCACCAGTGGTGTATCCGCCAGTGCAAGCTGGCTTAGGGGATCCGCATTTGCCGCTTGGCCTCCTGAACTGTATTCCAACTTGTAACTGTACGCACTCAGCATAAGAGCCCACTGCCGAATCTGACTTGAAGCTATGGGCAGCACGGCCCTGTCATATACAGGTAGCTCTAGCAGGGGTTTTTGGTCTATTACTATTACAAATTTACATCCGTAAAAGTATTAGTGAAACTTTCTCACACCAAAGATGACCACCAAACCTTCCTTCTATATCTGTATTTTCATTCGGCGTCAGCCAAAGTCCGGGAAGCATGTGCTATCGGGTGTTCCTCTCCTCTGGGCCACCGGTGAGCTAACACTACCCTGATATTGGACAGGGAGGCATTGCTGGTCAGCATCGCTTGGGATCATAGTGAGCCATCAACTTAGACAGCGATAGCTGCTTCTTCACTTCCCTAAAGGCTACAAGACCATTTCCAAGGCTGACCCTTTTTCAATAGCATGTGTAAGTGTGCGAGAATGGAGGCTAAGTTACGCATGAATTTTCCATAATAATTCACTAACTGGAGGAAAGACCTAATGTCTGGTGTAACCCGGTCCTGTCGATTCTGTAGCCCAAGTAGGTCACTTGGGGCACCTAGAACACACTTTTTTTTTTCCCTCCTAAGGCGTACACCTCTCTTGGGAGAAACATTTAAGGACCATGTCCAAGTTCTCTAAATGCTCTTTCTTGGTCTTCCCGGTTATTATATATGGCAACATGGGGAAAACCTTGTAAAATGTTCGTCATTGTCCACTGGAAAAAGGCACAGGCTGATGATACCCCAAAAGGCAGTCTTACATACTGGTGCAAACCGTTATGGGTATTAATTGTAGCATACCTCTAGAAATCCTCGTCTAATCACATTTGCAGGTATGCACAGTTCATGTCCAGCTTCGTGAAGGATAGCCCGCCTGCCAGTTTTACTTGTACGTCCTCAACGCAAGGGGCTCTGTATTTATCAAGCTCTGAAAAGCAGTTTACCATTTGTTTGAAATCCCCACAACGGCAAACCGACACACTGGCCTTCACAATCGATACGACCAGTGCTGCCCATTCTGCAAACTGGACTGGTTTGATGATGATGGTAGAGTTCGAATTAGAATTAGCCTTTACTGTCACATATACTCAATGTGTACAGTGAAAAGTTTATATGTCGCCACTTACAGTGCCAACTTAGGAACAAAGGTACCTAGACACAGCTTCTTTAGTTACAAGATCTTAGACAATGGAGAAATAAAACGTCCAGCATTACAGAAATAAAAGTTCAGTACAACAGACCACGCTTCCAGTCCGCACCAGGCCTTGGCTCCAGACCGTGCCGGGCTTCACCTTGAGGATCAGGAGGCTGGGAGATTACTTCAGACCGTCACGCTGGACCGAGGGGACACCACACCAGGAGGTCGCCAAGAGGCCCCTGCACCAGGCTGAGAGTCATAGCCGGAGGGCTGGGAGGCACCGTAGGCCGGGAGAGAAGAAGGAAATAAACGTACTGAGAGGAAGAAGAGAGAGAAGAAAAAGAAGAAAAAGATGATGATGAACAGGCAGCGCGGACAAGCTCCAGCTGGAGTGTCCTACTCTGCCACCATGTTGGCTTACACCAAAGTTAGTACTGGGATACTGAGCAGGCCTTGCAGAATCATGGAATTGCTTTTTGGTCAATATGTAAGGTGGCCTTGGCTATTTTGATAGTCCCTAGACCTTCCTGAAAATCTTCTGGGTATTTAATTAGGACTTCAGTCAGGCAGCCATTTACTAAACAGTACAAGTTAAGCCAATCAAGTTGATTCTTTCTCAACCAATTTTGCCCCATCACGCTTGGGCCTAAATGTTTTACTACAATCAATGGTAACTAAACAGACTGATTCTCATAAGACACCACAATTGAAGATGTACCCTTAATCTGCAGTAGTATCCTGGTATAGGTTCACAGTCTAGCCGAAGTCTTATGCAAACTCAGGGTTGGAGTCCAGAGTGAACTTTGCTAAAGACTGTTCTGCAATTGCTGATACAGCTGCACCGGTATCAACCTCCATTACAACTGGGTAACCATTTAACCAAATGTTTATTTTGATTTATTCTGATTTGGATGTTGCTAGGCAATTTAACATTCCCAACCAGCTGTAGGTGGCCTTCCCAGGTTGTGCACTCTCTTGGATACTGGCCTGAGTTCTCTTACTCAATTTAGGTCTAGTGGGACTCTTTTCCGTTCTCAAGTCTGTATACTGACAGCAATTACAATAGCCTACCACTCCAGATCCTAATAGGATCAAACAAGTCAAGTGTTCCAAATAGTGACATGATGCCAGACATGCTTACTCCAATTCAAAGGCAACTGTTGCAAGTGAATCTCTTCATGGATGTGTTTTTCTCTCATTGCCACTGAAATAACTCCATGAAGGTCGGTAACCATCTGCAAGTCACCCTTTACTTACACATGCATTGTACACGACACTGACCCAGCTAGCTCAGAGCTGGCACCTAGAGTGAACAGAACCCCTAGCACTCCTGTTTGTATCTGTCAGCCAAGATTCCCCGATTGGACCAGGTTAATAGCCCCAATCAGGAACTCATATTCTACAAAGATCCACCTGACTGACCTCATTCCAATCATTACATACTCCATAAAAAGATTTGCTTATTTGGGCATTTAATGCCAATATGCCTGTACGCACGCATTTAACATGCCGTGATTACTGTTGAATGCTCGAGAGTTTCCCCAAATTTAACAAGCTGTGATTATTTCGAACGCTTGACTTCTCGAGCATAATCATCTACAATCAGGCTTTATTCCAAACTACACCATTTAAAATGTCCATCGACGCCAGCTACTGTTTCAAGCATTTTACAAGTGATCAAATGCTCAGTTTCTTTCTGGTGGGGAGATTAGGGTAAATGTGATTTTCTTTTTAAATTAAAAAATAAGCTTGCATGTTTATTTTTAACAACTATTAGTAACCTCATATTAAATGTGCAAGCTGACTTAATAATTCTAATAATAATAATAATAACAATAATAATAATGCATGAACATTGCATATGCCAAAGAATAGTGAAGAGCACTCACCTGTATACTCCTGAGTTGCATCTAATGGATCAATCCATATCGTTACTGCTTTTGTTGGTACCATCCTGGCATCAACAATGCTTTCCTGGATTAATGTTGGGATTTCATAATTCCATGTGAGGCTTTTGTCTACTTCAGAGTTATCATGTTCCTCTGAAATCAGCTAACAAAACATAAGTAATAAAATTGAATTAAAACTCAGCTCAAGGAACACAATAGTTACACGACTGGAGTTAAATATTTTAGAAAATGTTTTTGCACAGTAGGATGAATTCCTTTCTGGCAATAGCTGACAGCAGTAAACAAACCAGAATAAAGATTCAGAATCAGCTTTCAACGTGCCAGAAATTGACCATCTCCAACCAGAAGGAATCTAACCATTTCCCCATTATATCCAAAGGCATTATCATCACTTCATCCTCCTCTATCATTATTCCAGAGGTTATCATTGCTCAGAAACATAACCAGAACAGCCACATAAATGCTTTGTCTACAAGAGGGGAGGAAGTGGCAACATAGTGATAGTGTCACTGGACTAGTGTGTGGAATCAGTCCTTCAATGAATAACTTAGCTCTCCAAAGTCTGTCCACCATCTGCAAGGCAAAAGTCAAGAGTGTGAAGCAGTACTCTCTGTTTGTCTGGAAGAGTACAGCCCTAACAACAGTCAAAAAGCCCAATGCCATGCCATTTAATCAGCACCCTATCCACGATCTTAAACAATCACTCCCTCCACCAAGAGTGCATTGTGTACCATCTACAAGGTACACTGTCATCTCTGCTACCAAGAAGGAAAAAGGCAGCAGATCAGACAGTGGTGCAGAAGCTGGGTGAGAGAGGGGGACAGACTTGATGGGAACTGGCCAGGAGCTGGCAATGGAGAATTCCTATTCCTCCTGACTCCTCATTTGCTAAGTGTACTGTTCAAAACATATCTGAAGAACAACTGGTTCAATCATATGTAAATCACAGTACAGTCATTAGTCTCCTTGTTAGCATTTGAATAGGCATGATCCCCAAAAGTCTCATTGATGCCTATATCAATATGGTGAACAACATTCTTTGGGTTTGTGCATGCTAGCCATCATCTGACTTTTATTCACCCATTTCATTCTCTTCCTAATAGCACTGTGGACATAAATACACCACCAGGACTGCAGAGGTTTAATAAGACAGTTCATCATCATGCTCTTAAATAGAACTAGAAATGGGCAATAAATTCTGGTTCAGTCAATGATGCCCACATCCAAAGAATAATAATTTTTAAAAGGTGGTGCAGCAATATCAAATTTTCAGGTCAAAGTACCTACCAGACTGCACCAAGAAAATACTCAGAAATCCAACAATTATTGCCACCCTTCTAGTAATCAGAGAGAAGGTACACACTATGTGTAAAAAAGCAAACAGAACTAATATCCAATGAATAAAAATCCATAGTTACCCTGTTAAGATGGTTTACTGCAAATCTATTAAGATATAAACTCCTGTCCTTTTTATATTATTGTGAAACAGATTTCGAAACCATTCCATCTTTGCAATATTTTATGCCTCTCTTGATTCTTTCTTCTTCTAATAAGGAGGCTGCCTTGAGGCAAAGATGACTTGAGAATGTCTCACTGATTAAAACTGCCAGCAGCGATTTATTGCTGCTAAATTAACAGATTTGAAATTTAGAATGCTCCCACAGTGACTGATTTGATGGAATGAAATATGAGGCCTTTATGGTAACTGACTACAAACAACATGCTGCCACAAGCAAGTTCAGTCAATGAGCCTCCTTTTATTGCCTTTGTTTCACTCAAAACAGGTTTGTGCTAAAATGTGCCAGCAACAGCTTGCTTTGCAACTAATCAGCCAATTAAATAAGTAACTTCACTGCGGTCTACAACATATTTTCAAATCAAATAGATTTTGAAACTTGCATCACTTTTGGGACTTGCAGTGACTAACTATCTCTGTTTCCAGTAAGGAAAAGACAATTATCTCAAACTGCAGAGATAGTAGGAACTGCAGATGCTGGAGAATCTGAGATAACAAGGTGTAGAGCTGGATGAACACAGCAGGCCAAGCAGCATCAGAGGAGCAGGAAGGCTGATGAGAAGGGTCTAGGCCCGAAACGTCAGCCTTCCTAGTGCAGTATCCCTTCAGTACTGACTCATTAACAGTGAAGGATTTCTTCAGTGTTGACACTTTGAGAGTGCAGCAAATACTACCACTGGAAATTTGATTCAAAGAGGAAATTCAGCCCTAAGCAGGGCAGAGATACCCTAACAAGGGTTGAATGCAAGAAATAAACCCTTCCAGAGTAAGAGGTGAGTGAGTGAGGATAATAGGTGTGCATTGAGACGCTGACTTATAGTGAGATTAGCGGCTGAGTGACACCATTTTTTTAAATAAAGTAAGGAGACCAAACATATTTAAAGGCCAGTTAGCTTAATGTCTGTTATGGAGAAAATGTTAACATCCATTATAGAAGATGTAATAGCAGACTAAAAACCAAAAGAATCACAGATGCTGCCAGACCTGCTGAGCTTTTCCAGCAACTTTGTTTTTGTTGTTGTAATAGCAGACTATTTAGAAATGAATAATATGATCAAGTAGACTCGGCATGGCTTCATGAAGGGGAAATCATGCCTGACAAAATTTACAAGAATTGCTTTAGGAAGTAGCAAGCAGGTGTAGATCAAAGAATGAATGCATGTAATATATTTGGATTTTCAGACAGCTTTGATGGACTAATGGCCTACTAATGCTCCTGTTGGATAAGGCTGAAGATAACAGGAACTGACAGAAACTGACAAGAGGCCTAATAATGGGCTGCTTTGTGAATGGAAGTACGCCGAGTCAGTCAGATCCGTTAAGAGTTAAAATTGCAGGAAACCAGGAACTGCTGGTTCTATCTTATAAAGTATACATTTGGACAAAACGTTCAGGATTGGTCATGTGCACCCATAATTCAAAGTAAGGAACATACTTGGCACAGAGACTGGTATATAAAAAGCTTGAAGAAGTCCCTTTGTTCAACAATACTTTGAAGACTCACGTTGTAAGAAAGTACCCTATGTCAGGAAGCATGGTGAAAACGTCGACCAGTTTCAGCCTGGCCAGCTGCGAATTCTCCCAGAGAATAATGTTTGGGTTTAGCTACACAAATCAGGGTAGTGAGAGAGTGTTTGAGATATCTCTAGTAGTTAAAAGTGTGTTAGTCATTTATGTACTTAATAAATTAATTGTGGGTTTATAGAGCTCTAAGTGTCTCTGCTGTACCTTCATCTATGTATCTATGTTGTCTCTCAGAGACGGGCAACATAATTTTGGCGTCCCTGGTGGGAGTCGACAAGAAGTAACTTTAAGTTACTCTGATGCCGGACCAGGTAACCTTTGAATTTTCCAACACCCTGCCTGAGCCTGAAATTGAGAGAGCAGTCGCTCCACATTAGGGCCATGATTAAATGGGTGCCGGGAAGGAGGAGGTGGAAATTTGGAAGTGAGAAAGACAAAAACAGTGGACACACCAGGAAAGTTAGCATTAACAGAGAGTGGTGGGCCCAGGGGACTTTGATTGGAAAGGATTTCTCCAACAGTACGTGGCTGGGAAATGGCTGAAGTACTGTGAGTATACTGGTTGGACCGGTAAGTGAATGGGAATGCGCGGGGATACTCTCTGGAGTATGGCAAAAGATGGTATGGGAAAAACGCACTATGAGAAAGTGCAGAAAGCTGTAGCAATAGGCTGTATGTTAGGAGACTGGGCAGAAAAGCAGCAGCAAGTGCTGAAGCTGCAAACAGAGGTAGCTGAGCTTAAAGAAGACAAAGAGGCTGACTGAGAAGGTCGGGAATTTAAAAAGCCAGAGAGATGTGGACCTCACGCACATGAACCAGCATCAAATGCAGTGTGAGAAATTGATTAGAGAAAAGTAGAAAAGTGAAGTGGAAACTAAAAGGGCTCACATGCAGATGGAAGAGTTAAAGAAACTGTGTAGCGATTTGAAAACAGCTATGAATGCGTAAGACAACACAAGAGCGAAAGAGGACCTCGAGCAATCATACAAAGTGTATGAAGCATACAGAGAAGTTACAGAGTCAGATATCTGCACAAAGCGGGATAATATGTACGTTTGCGACCCCACCCTTTGAGGAGGGATGGGAGGAAGCTGGTGACGTTGACTGGGGAGGGCTAGCAGATGAAGCAACCAGATATGGAGACGAGCAGCCCAGGGAATGGGGTCCCACATGGAGGGAGGGTGCAGGAGAAAGTCCCACTCTCCCTATGGCCCTCCCCCAGCGCCCCTCCGATCACTAGGAGACAATAGCCAGCAGTGCTAGGAGGGCAACTGCAACCACAACCACCTGATATTATATAGATCACCCCTTATGAAGTTCAAGAGCTAAGAGATATAGCCAAGAGTGTAGGGGATTGTCAACTTGGGGATGACCCCTGGGAGCTGTTCCAAGCTACCCACAAACAGTGAACCGTACACAGGTTTGATAATGAAAAGGAGGAAAAACTAATACTGATGTGTCTCCATCCCACTATACACTCAACTTTACCTGAGCCACAAAATTAGGGAGGGGGAGCATTACATAAGTTAAAGGAGGCTGTACTGATGGCCATACGAGCTAATAGAGGGGACCCAACGGAAGCCCTGATTAAGTCTAGACAGAGGAAATGGGAGCACTCAACTGTGTTTGCTGCAGGTGTGGCTAGTGTTCCAGAGTGTATACAGTCCAGGGCTAGACTGGCAAAACTTAGCTGTACCTTTTGACAATCGATGGGTCTGTCCACTGGTGTCCCATTGGACAGAGGAGGCACAAAAGGCATGTCACATGTTCAACCCCTCCGACAACACACACACTGAGGCGCGGGTGTTAATAAAAATGGTCCGAGTTTGGGAGAAGGAGACATGAGGATATAAGCCTCAGGGAGGATGAATGGTGCCTCTTAGAGATCAAAGGGAAGCATGGAGAAATGGAGGAAAGGGACCAGTTCCAAGGGGAAAGCCTCGCCTTTTCAAATGGCAGGAAGAGGACGTGGGAGTGGATGAGGAGCCCTGGCTACAGCTGCAGGAAGTGGTAGGAACCCCAGGGACTCATGGAACTGTTTTAATTGGGGCAAGGAAGGGCACCATACCAGAGATTGTCCAAACCCCCAGAGGGGCAGGGCA